CGTCTCTCAACTATGTGCAAATTTGGATTTTTACATCGTAACCATAGGCGTGTATAGCGGGGGGCCGGGTGGGCCGTGCCCACCCCAGTATGGTCTAGTGCCCACCCCAGGATTTTGGGTTACCGATTCGAAATTCTAGGATGGATACCTATCCTTCATCGCCACAAGCAGATTGAAGCCGAGCGAAGTGCAATGTAGATTGGATTTCTCGAATTATCTCTACTATAATATGCATATATATTAGATGTAAACCTTCCACTTGAATAATATCTATTGCTGAAACAGTGTTCGATTTCTTTTGTAGTAAGGGCCCAGGCCCACCCTGAAATAGCCCTAGATACGCCAATGATCGTAACAAGCGTCCACTGCTTTAGGTTCGGTACAAATATTTAGTTTTGCTTCGTTTAATCAAAGGGAAAAATGGAGAAATTGTTCTACAATACCGTCAGAAGATTGCACTGTAGGAAGCGAAAAAAAAAAATTAAAGACCAGCAACCGATTCGGGAGAGGAAATCATAGTTTAGCAAAACAAAAACACCATCCCCCGGCCAGGGGTGAGTCGAGGCCTGTCGGGTCCAATTGGGGCGCAATTTGTCAACGACCCTCTCCGTTGAGGGCTCGAGATACAATCGTGCACTCCTCTCGTGTTACATTCGTTTCTAATGGTATGATTATTTTATTATCCCCGCGAAAGCCGACTGTACGGGATGTGCGTAGTTAGTAACGACATATGACAAACTTATTCACGTTAGATTTGAATACCATCGCGTTCCTTATCTGGAGTTAAAATCGCGATGTCAACTGATGATTTGATTTGTCTAGGTTCATCTGCTGCATTTAGTCTAGCTGCGTTGATGAGGAGATAAAATACGTAACCATATCACCGTTGCATAACATTCAGTTTATTTTCTAAGAGAGCAAATGAGAGGCAGCTAAAGATATCGCTATTCCTGGGAATTAGCTAATGTCAGGCTGCGTGTATAACTTCAGTTAGGCCAGTCCATCCGTCTACAGGAAAAGCTACTGTGTGGCTTTGTTAGAACAAATAGATATAAACAACCTAGCCTTTCGTAAGAATTTATCTGTGGTACAGGAATCAGCGGAATATATATATATATATATATATATATATATATTGTTAGAAATCAAAAATATTTGTTTAAAGTAATCCCATTCATGTTTGCTAACAAAACTAATAATTTTGTAAAACACATTGATTTTATTAATTAGATATGTAAAAAGATCTAACAATATATATTGTTAGAAATCAAAAATATTTGTTTAAAGTAATCCCATTCATGTTTGCTAACAAAACTAATAATTTTGTAAAACACATTGATTTTATCAATTAGATATGTAAAAAGGAACCATATTTATGAACGCGACTAATGTCCTGCCTTTTAAAAAAAAACTTGTTGTATTGTTACTCAAAATCATTACCATTATTCTGTGAAATAGTAATATTACGCAATTATTATTTAGTTTTGCTTCCTAAAATTATATAAGTTAAAGTTATATATTTTGTCAATTTTATCAATCTAATAGTAAACTATTTTGAAACATTGTGAGAATTTAAAAAGTGGTACAACTGAGTGCATCGAAAAGAAGGGTGTGGTCATGCGCCCGGGCATTCGACTCCCTTGTATCGAGGCGAGAATACGTATACTTTTATTTAATAAAGAAATTGTAGTCCAACTCCAACCTGAGTTTTAATAATATATAATATATATATTTCGTATAATATATATATCCCCCAAGGTTCCACTGAAAACCAGCATTGACGAAGGTCGTCAACTTCGTGATATGAAGCTGAAGCTTTGTTATTATGTGCCAAATAAATGTTTCTTTCTTTTTAATATATAATATAAATCGGAATCGGGTACTTGGTAACAGCACATAAAAGTTGGCACCTTAAAAGTGAAACCATCAATCCAGTCCCTGTGTGTGGCTGTGTCAAACACAAGGAAAGATTGAGAAGGATAAAGAAAGACTATCACAAAGCTATTCTTTTCTGACAAAACGGTAAGGCGAACGTCTTGTTCGGTTATTAAAAAGAAAAAGTGATTGTTTTTGCTTTTTCAATCATTTTAATCTTAGGCTGTGACTTTGGGGCTACCACGCGCGTCCTTCACAATGAACACGACGCGTCGATTGTGGAGATAAAACCTTATCTATACGAGGCGTGTACACAGTAGGTACTCGGGGCTCGCGTCGGGCTCAGATAAAGCAGCCCCACTCCAGATACGCCACGCACATCCGACGCATTAGACCTCTAATGGGGGACGGTCACGCCAGCACGGTGTGAACTTGCCACGTGTCCCATTGTCGAGTCTTACGGGTGTATTAGTTGATTTATTTGGTGGGCCGATTTCGTTAGGAGTGCTCATTTTTAATATGGAGTTATATTACGAGAGTTTTGGGTAATATTTGCTTTAGAAGGGGCCAGTTAGACGGGCTGCTTAGCTGACAACCAAAATAGAAAAGTTGAGATCTCAATGCAACTTTTAATGTCTTCAGGCAGGTCACTGGATAGGCTAGGTAGCTCTTACTTTCAGAAGGAAGGCATCTATTTTAAATATAAAAGAGTTTAAAAACAAACTAGAATGGTACAAACATATAAACTTATATCATCATTTCCGCCCGTTCAAGTCCAGTGCTGAACATACCAAGAAACACGGTCCTGAGCCAACTATATCCAGCGACTTCACGCATACTTGCACAAGTTTATCTAATGATCCAAAATAACAAATGACACCCAACACGTAAGAACCTTAATCACCGAGAAACATTGAATATAATTGTTTCGAATGCGAATTTCACTTGCTTAAGTTTCCAAAATGCATCTTCTGGTTATATGGTTGCTATCCGAAATTTAAATGACGCTTTGCCACTGAGCTAAACGGCCGATCCCCACAGCGACGAAAATCTTAATGTCTTTTATCTACATTGATTTTCAGCATTTGAAGCAATGCTTAGCGCATCCATTGTTATGGTTACAATTCGATCAAATGCCACAGAGCAAGGAACGCGATCCGTTTTAATTAGGCGGGAATTTCGACAGGAGGCTCGGATCGAGCGCTTATCGTCCAAATCCAACGAAGTACGACGAGTTCAGTCCAACCTAAAAGGGCGTTATAAGACAGAGAGTCGCGCTTAATTGATCGTAATGAATTCGACACCTTTCGGGCCGGGGAATAATCTATTGTCGTAGAATAGGCGCATTCGTTGGTCGCGTACTTCTTCTCCACTAACTTTATTTATACGCTTGTACGCCGGACAGTTCTCGACTCATTTACATTTCCCATTCGGCGACACCTTGCGGTAGCGTCGGCAGGGGCACCGTACCTTCATTATTATATCAACTCTTTAGGGTTTATTGTTAATTTCTTTTCCGTGTAAGGATGTTAAAGTTCGCACATTCGACGTAAATACTAAGTCACAAATGCGATAGGCGGTGACATCGTTAGCTCAGTTAATAACAGGTATGATTCTTATTGCTTTGAAAGCAGGACTTTTTATTCGCATCCACGACGTCACAACCTCAGACCCACTATTGCCGATTTGTTGAATTAATAAATAGATATTACAGAATATACTTTTGCCTATTTATTTAGTCCCAAACTAAGCAAAGCTTGTACTATAGGTACTAAGAAACTGATAAACATTCTTAAATATACTTTTCTTTTGTAATGATTTCATAAACACCATGTTAATCACAAAGGTCCACGAAAGAATTGGTCCCTTAAAACATTACAATTATTATTACAGTTGCATAAATGGGTCGGTTCCATTGGAGGAAATCCGAGGAATCACAGAAGACTGGCATAATGTAGAACTTATTCATAGTCATGTATTTTGTCCGGTAAGTTGTTGATCTAATAGGTTGGCAAGCGAGCAAGAGGAAAACCTGCTGTCAATTGGTTACGCCGTCCCTTGACATCTAGAACAAAAGACGGGTTGTAGATGCGTTGTTAACCTTCAAAACCAATGGAATTATAATCCTACTTCACGTTGGCCCTCCGTGAGTCCATGGTACCTACTTTCCTGGTCGAGTCCACCCATTAGAGCGGAAGCTATTTTCTGAGATCACACCGCCCAGGGCTCATCTTCCTAATGCATGGCCACAGAACTGCAATCGTGCGGCTATTTTGGATGTCAGATTCAGACACACTGTCTCAAAAATGTTCTTGAGCCTCGACTTGTTCTGCTGACGGTGGCCGAGTTGTCGGCCTTTGGGCCGGGTCGCCTCCGCGTCTAATGGGCGCACTTGTCAGCCCCTTTTATATTTACGAGCGCGATAGCCATCGTCTGACGACCTCCGCGGACGGGGCAGGCATCAGGTGCCCACCGCGCGCCGCCATTTGGCATTTGCGCCGTGACGGATGTTGGGACTTGGAGGTAATACGGCTAACGAGTAAGACCACGGAGCTCGTAAGCCATACCATAACGGTCGTGAACATCAAAGTCAACATAGCTTAGCGGTCAAATCCAAGCGGTCTAATTATGTGCAATGTGACGACAGTCATGTATTTATGCAAAATTAACAAATATTTGAGGTTAGCATGGATAATAAAACAAAAGTATTGTGGCTTTCGTAAGTTGCAGTTTTTGATTAATATAACAGAGGTGGTACAATTGGCTGGAAGCCTATATGCTTTTTTGATAGTGGTTTTAATCTCAAAGGTACAACCAAAATAACTCTTAGCGCAGTTTACGATTAAAAAAAACAATGTAGATAAAAGACGTTAAGACCTTAGTCGGTGTGGCAATCAGCCGTTTAGGTTAGTAGCTAAAGCGTCAGGCCGCGAATGCCGAAGACGTGGGTTCGATTCCCACAGGGGCGACAACCTTTTCTACAAATTTTAATGTTTAACAGTTTACGACGTCCAACCCGCTGTTAGTCACATTTTGAACCTAACAAGATACGCAAAGAGTGGAAAATATAAGCTATAATAATTCGTCGCTCTCATCCGAGATTAAGGGTGTACGGGAATGTTTCAGTTTACAACAAAAGGACTTTTGTAATGGCCGCTAAGCGCGGCGATAAATAAGCACGCGACTCCCACTAAATCGTCGCTCGGGGTGTCGTCGCGCGCTTTGATTTTACGACCGGCGTAGTACTGCGTGGGCGCGTCGTGCCTTGGTACTGATCTGTCTTCCGTCTGGATGCTGTGGGTGGGCGGAAAGGGCGGGAAGTACTTAGGAGTATTGAAGTTCGATTCACAGCTCTGCACTGACTCTTGCTCTGAACTAACAAGTCCCCTGACTGCTGCTGATTTTATAATTATCTTCGGGGCAGCTTATACTCGTAGCATAGAGTTTTGGCCTAAATCCTAACGGTCGTCTACATTCGATGGCACGTGGTCGATATCCGAACTAACGCAGCCGCGTTTTAATTGTTAAAATCAAAAAGAGTTTAAATCGAAAAGTCATTATCGTTGTTACTTAACTTCATTTTAATAATTATACATTAAATGAAAATGTCACAATATTTTTAGATAAGAGAGAAACATATAGAACATATCTAGACATTCTAAGACTTGATATTAGTACATATCAAGATGATAGATCAGGATAACTTACCAAAGCAATATTTATTAATTGATCGTTTACAGAACGGGAAAGTCATTCACATTAATAAAAAAATCACCAGTAATCGCTATTTAACCTAGCGGAAATATTTCCCATAGAAAATCGTCCAGACATCTTATTATTGTTTACATTGTTACCTTATTCCCAAGGTTTTTCATCGTCTATTACATCTTCATAGAACAATGGGCTTTTATATAAAAAGTTGTGTGTTACAAGTTTTCAACAATTGTAGATTCGTGTATTTTTAAGCTGTAATCTTGTATAATGGAGTAAAACATGTGTTAAACTAGCTGCTTCGCACGGGCTTAGCAGTAGTATTAGCTAATACGACTACAATTACTTTACTTACCGAGATTTATCGCCTATTTTTTTATTTTATTTATCTTTATGGTATACCCACTAAATAAACATATGAAATATTTTATTACAGAGAAAATAACAAATTAAAACTTATGTATATATCTAAATTACAGGCATACACATCGTTTTTATTGAATTATCTATGGCACCGCTAAAAATATTCTAACAGGTGGGGCTATCCCTTATTATTAATAAGTTTTTTTTAAACTTGTATAGGATATCTAGGGCACTCTATTAACCTATTTCTTAATCACCAATCAATCTTCAACGACCATCGTCATATAACAGCCAGTTTACACCAAAACTTAGATAATTATATATCTAAAACTTCCTCATTATTCACTTAGCCTATCGTTGAAGACCGTTTGAAAAGCCGTTCAGTACTTTTTGAGTTTATCGCGTTCAGACAGAGCCACAATTGGCAATTACCCATTAAAGTAAATTAAGAAATATTGTATACCATTTGGTGTATTGGTTTGTGTGTTTATTTTTGCTAAACGCACTATGATAAACGTTATGAGCATACAGAATTCACTTTAGTAGACGGGAATTTCTGCAAAAGCGACATGCGACTTCATTCATAAATTTTCCTAAAAACATTTGCACACTCTAAACCAAAGTTCTGTTCAAATCTATGATGCCGCCTTAGACGTGGTACACGGGAGTCGAGGGAATATTTATGCCGTGGGATCCCGAGCTCGGGTTCGATTCCACGAAGTCCTCAGGGATTTCCATTCTATTTGCCTACATCCTGTCTACGTCTGCGGTTGAAATACGAAATGCAGATCTCTCCAAACACTTGGATGGCGCACGTTAGTTTTTCGAACTAAAAAGTATTTGATCCTCATTACCACATTTTGTGTTAAACATGATCACGATTCTAATGAATAACTATATTTTTTAAGTTATTTCATTCTTACTAATATTATAAATGCGAAAGTTTATATGTGTGGATGGATGTTTGTTACACTTTCACGAAAAAACTAAAAAATGGATTTTAATGAAACTTTACAATAATATAGCTTATACATCAGAATAAGATATAGGCTATAATTTATATACATCTTTTATGTTTATCTGTCTTTCTGTCTGAATTTTTCGCCTTCAGCCTCTTCTACGCAGACGTAGTCGCGGGCAGCAGCTAGTTAATAATATGTATTAAAATTTTAATTAATAATGTTGAGGAGACCCTGTCTAGCTTAAAGGAGGTTAGGGAGTCCTTTACACGGATGGAAGGGCATACGCCAGGTTAGAGCCAACTTTTACACATGTACAAAGACGTCTTAGTTTGTTCCCACGTTTCACATAAATTTCCGATTCATCAATCGAGAAGAAAAGGCTACGCTCGATGAGAATCACTAGAATAATTAATAATGAATGAAACATTGTTTATCCTATAACCTATAACGGTGAGCGTTATCTAACGCGGCAATTACGCAAGACAGGAGGCTGCTGTTGATTAGAATAATTGTTTGTGAGACGCCACTGTATGTTAATCGCAGCGACATGAGAGAAACGCGAAGCGGTAAAACAGCCTTTGATCTTTTATCTGATTATGTTTTATCCGTATTTTAAGTAGGGACTAAAGTTAGCGCGGGAACTGTGCAACGGGCAGCTACGAAATCGCGTGCGCTTACAGAAGAATATTAACTAGGTTCGAGTACTTTAACTTTCGAAGGTTTATTTCAGAAATGTTAAAAATTTATTTTGTCTTTGACTTTCGCAGCATGGCTTCTAGATGCGAGTTACGGTAGACCAAATAGACATCTAGATTAGCACTGTCGCGGAGAACTCTCAGATGACCGGCGTGAAGTGTTACACATCAGCGTTTCGTCTGGTGACAGGTACCAGGGGGCAACTTTATTAAAAGTTGGTAACTCATCTGCAACGCTACGGATGTTGCAAATGTCCATGGGTGGTGGTTATCGCTTAGCGTCAGGTGAACTGCCAGCTCGATTGCCACATTCATTACATTTTTTTTTGTGTGAAAAGTTGCCAATCGACCAGACGGTTCACCTGATGTTAAGTGAATACCGCCGCCCATGGACATCTGCTGCACCCGAGGGTCGAAGATGCGTTGACAACCCTTTTAAAATTGAGCTCCGGCCACCTCACTCACCAGACGAAACACGAAAGTATTATCCTTCCACTTTACGCCGGTCTTCTGTGAGGTCGTGGTACTTACCCGGACGAGCCTGCCCATTCGTACAACAGCCTAGGCTGCTGCCTGGCTGCTGCCTGGCCCCCTACCGAGGCGCGTCGCTAGTCTCACATAAAAAAGACGCATTTCTTCCGTACCAAACGACCTATATTATTATCTTAATGTAAAATACACTCATTACTCCATCACATTTTGCAAGGCGATGCTTTTGCTACGACTTTCTTCAACACAGGCAACCATCGGCGCTCGAAGACCAGTTTAATTATAAAAAAAAGAATGCATCACAACATGCACGGTCTATTCCCGAGTGGTAATCGAGAAATTAATTATGAAATACAACACAAGTGCAAGTACAAAGGCGGCAATGGAAACCTCAAGTCACGCGCGCCCATAAAAGCAAACAAACAGTTAATGCTCGAGCTCAAACCGATTCCAGTAAACGCTCGCATCGGCGACCGGCGGAGGGAAGTCCTAATTAAAACGCCATACATCACGGTCGCGCGGGATTCGAACCCCGCTACCTCTATTACAGTAGACAGCTACCACGGTTACTCGATAGTGGCTCGAAAAATCTCAACGCGTCTATCTATATATTAGTACGTGAAGCAAAAACTTTGTACCCCTTTTTACGAAAATTGCGCGGATGGAGGTGTGTGAAATTTCCAACACTCATATTTTATAACAAGGAGTGCATAAAAATACATTAAATCAATAAAAAGAAAACATTATACACACTAACAGGTATAATTAATTATGGTCGAATTTCTTTTATGGGGGACCACTAGTAAGTATCGTTTACCAAATATCTGCAGCTAGCTGTTCCGTGCGGCTTCATATGCGAGTTTCTACGTCTCTACTTCACCCCGTAGGTCCTAGTGTGACGTTAAATACCCTATAACCACCCTCAAGAATTGGGCAACCAAATGCTATTTTTTTTAAATAAGACGTTAGTAAAAAAACAAAGTGTTAATGTAAGTATAATAGATTTATGTGATTTATTAAATGTTATTGTTTAAAGTATATGCTAATTTAGCATTTTAATCTCTTTGATTGAAAAAAATTGTTTAGCCGTGAACTTTCCCACCTTTCCTGCTTGACTAATCACTGCGGTATAGAATCTCGCACCTATCTCGCCCCATTCCGATCTCGCCGCAAAGTCGAATGGCGGCATGTGGTAGCGGGCACAGGTTCCCTATTTCGCAGTTTGTCATCCCGAATGGTTAATAAATTCCCTGTCATCGCGTCTCCGCGCCTCACCGGCTATTTCTGACGGCGTGGTGCTCTTTTTACGCGCCGGGCGTCTCGCGGTATCGTATATTTTTTCTATAAAAGTCCCCAGATAAATCTCTGTCCATAGAGGTGGATGGCGTAGAAATTGAATAATATACGGCCGTGGAATGTTGTCTCGTTTAAGATAGTTCGGTGTATAAATTTAGATGTAGATATAAACAAAACGCAGATAAAAAAGGTTACGAGCCGAGTGAAACACTTCAGTATCTGTGGTCAAGCTACCGACGAGTTGAAATAGATAATTAAAACATGATTCGAAACGTTTAGAAATATCTCGGCGATATAACGAAGTTACTATTTAAAGTGTGGAATTATACTATACACTTATTGGGTTTAATCCGAATGAGTCATGTATGTAGGGACGCATAATATATTGCATCTCATAATTTTATTAAGGTTATTTATAAACTTTTTGAACTGAATTATTGCTTTTTCGAAAAATAGGACATTACATAAAAAGAGTTAAATATAAATTTACATTTTTGTAACTTTGTAATATATTCCAATGTAATTAATTCAAGAGTAGGAAAAGTACGAAGCAATAAATTTAATATTCTAATTTTGAAATTGATTTAATAAAATGGTATGAGAAAATAAGATATGAAAACATATAGTTACTTTATTTAATCGTAGTGCGCACGTAGCCTGGTCCTTCTTTGAAATTAATTACATGTGTTTTTACAGCTTTTAAAAATACGCGATTCTACAAAAATCATTCACGTCATATTTTGCACCTGTTTTCAGTATACCTTCAGTATTCTTATCGCTTTACCATAAGGGTCCCCTTTCAATTTAGGTACCGTTAACCATTAAAGTTATTCAATACTAAAATTCATTAAAGTTATCTAATTATTCATCTCTATACATTACACGAGGATCATTTCATAGGCAAAAACAACAGAACGACAAACGCTACGCGAGCAAAGTTATTCATGAGATCCGTGTGACGTCGCGAAGGCGTCATACAGCATCTGTCATGTATGGATTAAGCGAGATTAGACACCGACATCGCGTCGGGAAGCGTCGCTTACATCGAACTCAACCGCTGACGGTCTAAGACGTTGCTTTATTTATTGATAGCCCGAGTGAGGCGATTCCGGGGAAGGTCTTTCGAACATCTGGTGTAATATAGTGTTATATTAAGAGTTAAGACACACACCAGTCAAGCGAATTTCGCCTTCGTCTACATGTGTTTAACACCGCGCGTGTTTTCTTGACAACTCCTCGAAAATTGTGAACTACTAGAAGGGTCGATTAAAGAAAACCACAACCGTATTCTCATCGGAGCGTATCTTTATTTTTAACTCGTCGTCCGTATTACCACACGTTAAACAAACCAAAGCGCGTTCTAATACGAACATTACGTCATCTAATTAGGTTAATGAACACTACATAACGATTATATTTCATGTATCCGAATCGCACGCCTCATTGCATCTTGAGCAACATGTTTATATATATATATATATATATATATATATATATATATATATGTTAGTATTTGACATCCGGTTGATCAAGACACTATATAAACTTTGATCCAAGAAAGTATAAACATACACGACAAACGCGAGTTTGAAATTGCGTTGCAAAAGTTTAAAAGCGTCGGCACGAACGTTACCTCATCTATGTTAGATCGCCGTGATGTAGATGTAGTATTTTATCTGAGAAGGTGGCAAGCGAGCCAGCGGTTCACCTGATGTTGAGTGATAACCGCAGCCCATGGACATTTCTTGTATCTTGTATTAACTGATGTTTTTGCTTTCAGTCCCGAGACTATTAAAGCTTCATCTGACGCAGGACATTTGCAACACCCGTAGGTTTGCAGATGCATTGCCACATCTAAACAAAGCGGGTCACGGTTACTTCACTCACCAGACGAAACGCAGAAGTACGACACTTCCACCTCACGCCGGTCTTCTGTGAGGTCGTGGCATTTACCCGGACCTGCCCATTCGTGAAACATTCAAGTCTGTTTCGTGGCCCTATCACAGAATGAATTTACACCAGTCACATCGGAGAACCGTCTTCCGTGACGTCGTGGCACTACCCCTGACGGACCTGCCCATTTTAAACAATGAAGACTGTTGCGTGGCCCTACCACAGTGTTCTGTATTTACATCCGTCACATGATAGTACGACGATCGCTTTCGATTAGCGACGCCAAGCGGCCGTGTAATTCGGCGCACGTGGTGCCCGCAGCGGCGGCGCCACCCACATCCGTCACTTCCGGATGCGACTCTCCGTCGTCTTGTGACGACGATATTTTCGCTTGAAGCCCGAGGGAGTGTGTCAACCTTGTCGATTCTATTTCAAAGCGATGAAAAACGTACAAGCGGTTGGCGCTAACTTAAGTATTAGTGACAAATGTCCACGGAGTTGGAGGTGCATGGCCAATCATGAAGAGGATGTAGTACCTGTCCCTGGCTGATGTAATTGTTTTTATAATGTAAATGAATATTATTGTAGAACCGAATAATACTTTAATTATGTTATTTACATTTCTGTTTTTTTTTTATGTGACAAAGTGGCAAACGAGCTGGCAGTTCGCCTGATGTTAAGTGATAACCGCCGCCCATGGTCAATTGCAACACTCATAGGGTTGCAAATGCGTTGCCACCTTTAAATAAAGTGGGCCCCGGCTACCTCACTCACCAGTCGAAATGCAGAAGTGTAACACTTCTACTTACGCCGGTCTTCTGTGAGGTCGTGGTACTTACCCGGACGGACCTGCCCATTCGTGCAACAGTGTTGCGTGGCCCTACCACCGTAAAGTATTGTTCGCCCGAAATGGTCAAACTGTTAATACAAACAATTATGTAACATGTAACACCTATTGTACATAGTTAAGACAATAAATGATTATATATTTTTTTCTTTTTAAATAACATAATCGTCACCCAGTAAGACGATTAACTGTTAGAAAAATTTAATGTTGGTATTATTCAGTGCATTTATTGAGTTTCTTCTAGGCAATAACTACTATTAAAATTTTTAAATTCAGAAATTAGCAATATAAAATTTTTAATTTCTAATAGCAATGGCGACATCTCAATTTCGAATTATCGTTTGAGGACGATATTGGAAATTGTTAAATAACAATCGATGCGCCAAGCACTGCAAGAAATGCAAAAAAACAGTAAAACACGTTGAGATTTTCGTCGGTATGGCAATCAGCCGTTTAACTAAGTGGTTAATGAGTTTGTGTGAACCCCAAAAACGTGAGTTCGATTCCCACAGCGCCGAAGAAAGATTAAAACATAAAAAAAAATCAAAGAAGCTATAAGATTCTTCGAAAAGGCTGAAACAGTTTGTCTAGTAGTTTGATCACAAAATTGTTTATAGTAATCTCTATAACATAGTCTCCAAAACGGAAACCATTATATACGTAACAGACTATGATGGATGATTTTATAAATTTGCAAATATAAATTGGTACATTATCGTAGTGTTATTTACTGACATATTTCTTGCATTAACTTGTGGCTTTTCGGAAACGTAGACTATTTCGTCAATTTTATCGCATTTCGTAAACATTTTCGAACTCCTGACGTTAGAAGGCGTCACAGCATCCAAACGTTTAACACGGAACGCTTTCCGATAATACAAAAGCTGTTTTACCTCATGAAGCACGTCCGGTAGTCAACCGTTATCTCTTCAAACTCTCGAACAGGCGTTAAAGTAACCTGTGCTGTTAAGCTAAACAGCCTCGTAAGTTTACGGGGGATAGCTCTAAACTGTATTCGCTCGCTTATCTCTAACCGCTTGTTGTCCGTAGTTAACCGGGCCTCGGGTTATTTATTGGCGTGGCAGCTGTTGAACGACACTTTGTTACTCAATTATCGATAATTTGTTCACGTGGGGAACTATTCTGTTTTCGTAGAGGCCTATGATGTTGGCACAATGTTAAAAAAGGCCTCATAAAATATTGTGCTTAGTTAAACACAATTAAGTGGCAGTCTGTGCGGTGGTTTTGCGATGATTTAACAAATTTTACGGGTAGTTACAATTGTCAACGTTTCGAATCTTCACAAGGTCCATGATAATCTATACAGATAAATAAAATTCGAGTGTCTGTTTGTAAGATTGCAATAACCGCTGTTTGCTAAATTGATATGAATGTATACACGGTACATATACCTAAATAATATTTTTACAATTTTTGTCTGTTTGTCTGTCTGTTTGTTCCGGCTGATCTCTGAAGCGGCTGGACCGATTTTAACGGGACTTTCACAGGCAGATAGCTGATGTAATATGGAGTAACTTAGGCTACTTTTAGTTTAGAAATTTTATTTATTGTTATTAATATATATAATATAATAATTCCACGCGGACGAAGTCGCGGGCTCAGCTAGTTGTAACCTATAAACCACCAGTTCGGGATCCAATAATTAAATAAGATTAAATTATTAATAACACTAAATCCAAGCACACTAAAATTGTTAGACTTCAAGATACTTTAAGCTCGGTAAAAATTTGACGGTTGCCGGGACTTGTTATTACATTGTGGACGAAAACATCTCAGTCCGGGAATTTTTTTATGTGGGTCGGCAAGCGAGCCGGTTGTTCACCTGATGTTAAGCGTTAACCGTCCATGGACTTTTCGCTCACCTGTAGGGTTGCACATGCGTTGCTATTAATATAGCGGGCTCCGGCTAACTCACTCACCAGACGGAATGCAGAAGTATAACTCTTCCACTTCTCGCAGGTCTTCTGTGAGGTCGTGGTACTTCCCCGGACGGACCTGCCCATTCGTGTAACGGCGAACTGTTGCGTGGGTGGCCGGCCCTACCACAGTTATAAAAAAAATAAAAAAATAATAGAGAAAGACTCATTAAGTTAGTTTTGTTAAACATGTGAAGTACCTATTCGCACAAACTC